TCACTCTACATACCACCCACAGATCCCATCTCCTCCCTCCTCCCATCCCCCAGCCTTCCCTCCCAAGCCACTCCACATCCCCACATCCCCCAAGTCAAGTTCTCCCATGGGGAGTCAGCAGAGCCTGGCACACTAAGCCTAGGCAGGTCCAAGCCCCTCCTCACTGCACCAAGGCTATGCAAGGCATCACACCACCGCCACTGGGCTCCTAAAAGCCTGCCCATGTGCCAGGGATGGATCCCGATCACCCTGTCTGAGTGCCCCGAACATTTCAAGCCAAACAAACGTCTTCCGTATCTAGAGGGCCTAGTCCAGTCCCATAGAGACTCCACAGCCACTAGTCTACAGTTCATGGGCTTCCACCAGTGTGGCTGGTCATCTCTGCACATCTTTACATCATGATCTCGACGTCTCCCACCTGCAGAATCCCTCCCCCTCCCCCCCCTCTCTCTCTCATCGATTGGATTCCCAGAGCTCAGCCTGGCGCCTGGCCGTGGATCTCTGCATCTGCCTCCATCAGTCACTAGACAAAGGCTCTATGATAGCAGTTAGGGTATTCACTAGACCGGTCACTAGAGTAGACTGGTCACTAGAGTAGACCGGTCCAGGTACCCTCTAGACCACTGCTAGCACTCCAAGGTGGGGTCATCCTTGTGGATTCCTGAGAGCCTCCCCAGCACCCTACCTCTTCCTATTCCCATGATGTCCTCATCTAGCATGGTATCTCCCTCCCTGCCCTACCACTCTGTCCCTGTTCCAGCTCGACCCTCCCATTTCCCTATGTTCTCATCCCCCACTCCTCACCCTCTGCCCCCCCCACTCCCAGTCCAGTCATGTAGTTCTCATCCACTTCTTCACTGGGCCATGCATATGTCCCTCCTAGGGTCTTACACTGTTAGCTAGCCTCTCTGGAGCTATGGGTTGCAGTCTGGCCATCCCTCCCCTCACATCTAGTATCCACTTATGAGTGAGTACACACTATGTTTGTCCTTCTGACTCTGGGTTACTTACTCAGGATTATATTTTCTAGTTCTATCCATTTGCCTGCAAATTTCATGATATCATTTTTTTTACTGCTGAGTAGTACTCCATTGTATGTATGTGCTACATTTTCTTTATCCATTCTTCAGTTGAGGGGCAACTAGGTTGTTTCCAGGTTCTTGCTATTACAAATAATGCTGCTATGAACATAGTTGAGCATGTGTCCTTTTGGTAAGATCGAGCATTCCTTGGGTATATGCACAAGAGTAGTATAGCTTGGTCTTGAGGAAGACTTATTCTCAATTTTCTGAGAAACCGCCATACTGATTTCCAGAGTGACTGTACAAGTTTGCATTCCCACCAGCAGTGGAAGAGTGTTCCCCTTGCTTCACATCCTTTCCAACATAAGCTGTCTTCAGTGTTTTTGATCTTAGCCATTCTGACAGGTGTAAGATGGTATCTCAGAGTTGTTTTGATTTGCATTTCCCTCATGACTAAGGATGTTGAGCAATTCCTTAAATGTCTTTCAGCCATTTGAAATTCTTTTGTTAAGAATTTTCTATTAAGCTCTGTAGCCCATTTTTAAATTGGATTGTTCAGTATTTTGATGCCTAGCTTTTTGAGTTCTTTATATATTTTGGAGATCAGCCCTCTGTCAGATGTAGGGTTGGTGAAGATCTTTTCCCATTCTGTAAGCTGTCATTTTGTCTTATTGACCATATCCTTTGCTCTACAAAAGCTTCTCAGTTTCAGGAGGTCCCATTTATTAATTGTTGCTCTCAGTGTCTGTGCTACTGGTGTTATATTTAGGAAGTGGTATCTGAAGGCTTTCTTAAGTCAACAAAAGCAAGGGGTCCAAATGTATGAAGCAGTGTTTGGGAAGTAGACAACAGGCAAATGACTGAAAAGTAAGGTCAATGCTACAAGAACAGTTCTCTTGTGATAGGACATTACATGTGCTTTCTGTTTTCTTCCATTGGCTTCTGTGTGTTTCTTAACTTGTCTGTAGTACTCATGCATTACATTTGGATCAGAGCATTAAAGACAGCAGACATGACTTCATAAAAGAAAAGAAGGCAGCCAGATGTGGAATCTTAGATATCCTCAGACATCCCTTGCTTAGGAGAAATAACATCTGAACTGATGTTTGTGAGTGTCTTGGGTTCTCTGGGGGTGGCTACGAGGCCATATAGAACTGCTGGTCTTTTTACCATCTAATCAGGATAACTGGGGCACACAAACCATTGTTCAGGTTGTTAGTGGGTGGCTGGATAGGTCTGGGAGAGGCATCCCCTCCTCCATTTCCCCACTAATTTTCAGCAAAGGAGAGACAACACTAGGGTAGATAACCCCGGGATACCTCTTTTCCTTACTTATCATATTCTAACATATTACATTATTTGTTTGTTAACTTCTGTGCTTTCTCTTGTCTTTCCCTCCTACTGAAACACAGCTCAATGATTCTAGGAATTTGAACTTGGTTCATTAATGGATCTTCACACTAGATGGTGAAGGTATGATACTTGGATTAATTGGTGTGATTAATGGATACTTCACACTAGTAGGTTCACGACAAGAGAGGCTCAATGCATGTGTGCTGAACAGAGGACTCTAGAAAGCTACTATGGTTCTAAGGTACTATGAAATGATTCTAAGGTATTCCAGAAGGATTCCAAAACAGTGTACAGTAGATCAGAGAATTGTTTTGATTCCTTCCCGTATCACTCAGAAATATTTCCTAACTGAAGGAGGCCCCAAACCACCCCAGTGGCTTACATAGGAGGGTAGGAGGTGGCATTCTTCACAAAGCTCCAGGGCTCTGCAGGCTGTGGAGGAGCAAACCTCAGGGATCCACGAGGAGGCTTGGCAAAGGGGACACCCAGGAAGACAGCCACAGGCTGTGTGAATCCTTCTAAGCTGACATACTTCCCCAGGACTTTGCCATGAATGGTGTTCACCACGGGTGGTGAGGATG